GGTACCTACAAGTATCAGTATCATCTTATGAAATTTATATGATCTTATTTTTATATTAATCTCAGTTACGACATTTTTCCATAAATGAAATATCAAAATTAATAATAAAATGAATGCAAATACAAATAACAGTAGAATGTAATAAATGTACATAAAATTATAGTATTTTATGTACAATTCTGATAAAATTTCATAAGAAAGGTACCTATAAATTAATTAGATACCTTTCTTAAGAAATATGAAATTTAATGTCACTCTTAACAGTTTTATTTTAATTTCTTTACAATATATTTCCCATAAAGCATCATAAACGTAAAAGGTGAAAGCTAAGTACAAAAAAAAAAAAAAAAAAATTAGACCGCTGAAAGTTTTTCGTAAAAAATAACGGGTAAATAATTTGTTCACGTAAATGTAAATTATTTCACTTTTCTCCTTCCGTAGAACAAATTAGCCTCCATGGAATTCGTAAATATATCATTCATCACATGTCAAGAGACGCGAAAGTTTATGACCTGCTTTGTTTTATTTTCAAATTACATCTTTTTTGGCACAAAAGCTAAGTTAAGTTTGGTTCAAAATATTTTAAATAAACATTATAATTTCTGATTTTCTTAAAATAAGTTTTGAAAAAATGATAATTGATATTTAAAAAATTTCAAAGTCAGATTTCAGTTTTTTTTAAAATGGAAAAAAAATGGTCAATTTTGCTGACTCAAAAAAAACTAGATTTTTAACGAAAATTTCGGATGTGCTAGGAACGATTAAAAAATGGAAAAAAATACCCCAAAAAATACTTTGACCTTTCCTCTTAATAATAACAAACATTTAGACGATAAAATTTTGTTTTCGTCATGTTTGGCGTCTTTTTCATCATGCTATGCTCTTTTTTTAGCGATCCCATGGAGGTACCTAAGTTAACTCATTTGGATTATGCATATTATGTCTTCAAAAATATTTATGTGGTATATTTTTTTTTTCCCCTCCATCTTGTCTCATAAAAACACCTATAAACTCATAGAGCCATTAAGATAAGGGGAAAATTAAGTGTTAAAATAAAAAAAAAAAAAAACATTATTAAGGAGTGAGAATATTTGGAAGTTATAAAAAAAAAATATTTAACCAATAACGATTGACATCCCATTTTTGGTTTTTGAACATCAAAGTTGGCAAAAAAACAATAGAGCCGGAAGAGTTCAACAAGTGGGAAAAGAAACTGTTAGCATAGAACATACGATTACATCAAGCCAATTCAACTGTGAATTGATTAGACTATGCTACCAATCTAGTACTGAGCTTAAATTCAAAGTCTAGGCATCATAGCAAAGGGTTCATCCTAACAATTACCATAAAAGTATTTATAGAAAAAGGCACAGAGAAGATACATTATGATGATGAGAAAGTGACTGAAGCTAATATACCAGGGCAGGACCAATAATATTGCTGATTCTTTGTATTTTATCAACAATCTCTAGATATACAGCAAGAACTGTACACGATATGTGGCAGCAATATTCAAGGTATGGATGAATGGTACACTTATAAATGTGTAAGATAGATTCAAGAGAAAAAAAAAAACAAAAAAAACTTATAGCATGACACAGTGAACCAACTTTCTTAGCAGCAGACCTAGAAATGGATTCAATATAATATTTCCACTTTATGTCAGCTGAGAATGTAAGGCTGAAAAGGTGCAACAAGTCACTCTTATGGAGGTTAGCCATGCCAATGGGAGGTAGGAAGAGGTCTGGTTCAAACTCTTTCCCGGTCTTTTGAAGAGGACTAGGATCCTCATTTTTTTTACCTGTTTAGGATTGGGTTTCCAATTCCTTTTAAAGTTTGCTTCAACTCTATACCCCCTAACACTTATTCTTTTTTCTTGTGCTAATATAAGTCCACACAGTAACTCTCTATTTTAAGTGGCTCTCGAGCCTTGTATTGGGTGAACATTAGTGATTGTGTATATATATATATATATATATATATATATATATATATATAAGTGGGGGTGTCTTTCAGGTGATACATAATCTAATTTAATACATAAATAAATAATCCTATTTTATCAGTATTCATTACTAATAACCACTCCACTCTTTGGCTGATTTTAAACTCACAATATACTGTGTGCTGAAACTTATTAAAACAAATTGTAGATAAAAAATAGAAATAAAAATTAGTGGTCAGTCATCAATTTCCATCTTGAAATCTTAATGTTACAATGATTTTCATTCATAGTCCTGTGAACAACTTATATATTAGTTTTTATATTAACTTAATATATTGTTTTTTATATTAATATATTAGTTTTTATATATGATTAGAACAGAAATTTTATGAGAGGGGTTAAAATAATTCAAGAACCAAATTTAGGCATATTAATGCATTCAGTGTTGACATTTTTGTTACTTTATCTTAAGTGACGATATTAATTATGTGACCTCATTTTAAAATTTACACCCAGTTTTCATTAAAGCATGTGCAAGGGAGAAAATGAAGATAAGGTGCAAATAGGTGGCTAATAATCTGCTTTCTGGAAATGTGATTTCATCTCTGGGAACTCCATTTTTTTTTTTATTCTTGACTTAGATATGCAAATAAATCTCTTGATGTGTTGAGAATATCATTATGGCAAAATATTATCATAGTCAGTTAATGGGTCTGATGACATTTACTGTTTTTGCCTCATGACCAAAATTCCCAAATACTAGGTTATTATGTCGTTGATACAGAAAGGGTTTTTTTGGGGGTTTTTTTTGAGCATCTTTAGACAAAATATTTTGTACCCCCTAATTCCATTATAAAAAGGGTTTCTTTCAGAAATTCTTCAGTGTCATGAAATTGTTAGAACTGCTAATGAGACAGTGTTGCACAATTTGTCCAGGTAATAAAAAAATTCATTGAATCTCACTAAACACTGACAACACCCACCACAGAAGCAGGTATGTTTAGGTGGAGATGCTGAAGGTTGTGTGGGTTCAGCCTGAAATTGTTTCCTTTTGTATTTTTATAAATCCTTTTTTCATTGTCATCTTTTCTACAAATAATTCTTTTTGTACTAAGAGAATGTTGAGTGACATTCCCTTCAAGTAGAACCCATTTTTCTAGTTTCTGAAATTTCTTTAAAACTTACTGTTTTAAAGTTTGTGCAACACTCATAGTTGGTGGTTCGTAAGACTGTAAATCTGAATAAATACCAAAGACGCTTAAGATTAGATTTTCTTAAAAATTGTGAGAAAAAAAGTGGGGTGGTAGCTGAGAACTTTGGCATCAAATACAAATTCTGTGAGAGAATCTAAAAATATGTCCTTTCTACAGTCAGTCTTCTACAACTAGATTGTTACAACTTAAGTAATTAATTACCTATTCATTCTTTACTAACATTTTCATTGAATTATTTGTTGTGTGTATATATATATATATATATATATATATATATATATATATATATATATATATATATATATGAGAGAAAAAGAACAGATGAAGTAAAATTCTGCTGTTCATAGCATTTATTTTTTAAAAGTGATCAATGCAAAGTAGAGAAATATATTATTTTATTATAGATATAAACTACTATGTAGTGATTTCAAAGTTTTTGTTAGAATATCTAAAATTATATATATATATATAAATAAAATGTATGGCTTGACTAACAAAATTTAATATCACAAAAATGTTTTTATTAAAATGTTTAGAAAGCTAGTTATTAATATTTTAGAATGTGTTGCTCTTGGCACAACACTGAAGTTAATCAGACATTGTTTTTTTTTTTCAAATCTATCATCAAGTATCAAATATGTAATAATTAGGGAAAATGAAAATGTTGATGTAGTTTCATAAATTTTTCCAGGATTTCAGAATTTCATAAAACTGTTTTTAACAAAAAAACAAAAAACAAAAACAAAAAAAACAAAAAAACTATTAGAGTCTAAATCTACTGTTATTATCTTAGTTGCTTAAGACAAGCGCATGAGGTCCTTATAAAAAGTGAGGTAGAATTTTTATCTTTTAATCATTTCATTCCAAAGATTCATGGAGTTGATAATTGACATTGCATTTCAACTTTTGGAGATCATAACTGATAGGAAATTATGAAGCCAGAAGAGTGTTCCACAAGTGAAAAGTGCTAGAGAATAATCCACTAGCATAGAATTTACATCTACTAATTGCAACAGTGACATTAAGAGACCTAGCAGCTTATCTAATACTGTGCTTAAATTAATGAAGTTTAGGTACCAATAAGAAAAGCTTATCAGAACAATAACCATTAAAATATTTATAGAAAAAGCACAGGAATGCTATGTTACTGTGGTGGGAAAGCAACTGAAACCGAGATAACAGGCCAGGTCTGATGCCATTGCCAATTCTTTGGACTGTGTCAAAAATCTTAAGATATAGAGCAGAAGCACCAGACCAGCAATATTTAATAGACAGATGAATAGTACACTTATAAATGTGAAAGATAGGGAATTGATTTTTCTAGTAGTAGATTTAGCAGTTGTTTAAATATAATTGTTCCATTTAAAGTCAGTGGAAAACATGAGACCAAGAAAGCGTAGAGAGTTGTTCTCCTGGCAGTTAACATCAGCCATGCTAATAGAAGGTAAAAAAATGTTCTTTAGAGAGCAGTTTCATTTTAGGGACATTGAAATTAACAAATGATTTCTTGCCCCAGCTCACAAAAGATCACAGATCATTTTCAAGATCAGTTGCAAATTTGATTTTATCAAACCTAGACGGGGTTCTTAATAAAATGGAGATGGAAAATAATTTAGGGTCAAAAAGTGCAACTAAAAAAAGTGGCTTTTGTAAACAGACTCTCCCTGGATATTAGGCACCTAAGTGTAGATTATCAAACTCTTCATCTGTTATGTGACAAAAATTTTCAGTTTAAATAATCTTAATATCTTATACTAATGCAACAAACATGACAAAAAATTAAAATAAAAAAAAATATCCATCCAAAACATGCAGAGAACAAAAAAATGTTAAGTACTTACAGAATGAATGTGTTGAAAATTATCAAAAATGTTGTGTAACATCGTCTCTTATATCTTGCATTCTTGGGATCATGTTTGTGCCGTTTTCCTCCACAATTGTTGCAGCATGTCCGACAGCAGCATAAACAGCAACCAACAATAGGCATAACAATAATAAACAAAATACCAATGGCAACGCAGACAGCATATCCTATGAAATAGAGTACCGCCTGAAATGAAGAAGCAAAATAAAAAAAGTAAGGATGGTGGTTAGATTAAACAGTGCAGAGGTTAATTTCCTTAAGATTATTAGTTTTCTTATACAATTTACAGAGCAAAACAAGAAAAAAAATCTGATGTCTGGTCAAATTTCAGGAAGAGAACTTTCGAGTATGCTATCATACAAAGTAGGGGAAAAATATCCAAAATAAAACTTTTCTTTTTAAATTCAAAACCTTAATGTTGTTGCGGATAATGCTTCTAGCTCAATTAAAGGCAGTGAAAAACAAATTTTTTACATATAAATGACAAAGAAAGAAATGTTTAAAATGTGTGTGTGTGTGTGTGTGTGTGTGTGTGTGTGTGTGTGTATTTTCACAAAAATTACAATTTTCATAATCATTGAGTAAGTATAAAGTAGGTGTGTGTGTGTGTGTGTGTGTGTGGAGTAGGGGGAGGAGAGATTGTGTGTGTGTGTGTGTGTGTGTGTGTGTGGCAGTTGTCTGTGTGAAAGTTTAGCCATAAGTCACCCAGGGAAAGAAATCTTTCTCAGTGGGGATAAAGGTCTGAGTATCAACATTGCTACATCTTGTAGCAAAAAGAGGAAGAGGAAGACAGTGTTCTTTCTTTTATAGTCCTTAAACAGTGTCACCAAACAGCATCTAGGCAGATGAAGTGAAGGTAATCCCCACAATGTATTTTAAAAATTAAAAAGAAATACTTTAAAATTTTACCAATCTTGTATTTTAAGGTTTTCAGAAATTCAGAGTTGAAAGATAAGCACAGGGAAATATAGGATCTCTTGCAAATTACATAAATTTGGTATACAATATATTTTGTCTTATATAAACTAATGATCAAGTATTGGTTGACTAATGGTTAACAGGGCAGAAACCAAAATTGTCAAGTAGAGTTCAAATTTCAGCTGAGAGTGAGTCTGCTTCATACTAATAAAAAAAAAAAAAAAAAAAAAAAAAAAAAAAAAAAAAGCATGAATCTCTTCACTCTCCCATTTCTCAGCTATGGGCTAAATTAAATAAGAGACTAAGCTCTCAGGCAGGGTTCAAAATTATCATTTCATTGACAACAAAACATTAGTGATAACTGGTTAGGTTTTTTTGAGATGTTATCTGACCAATATATTTTTAATTAAAATTCTATTATATTTCTAAAAGCAAATAATTTCTTAAAAAAAAACAAAAAACAACCAACCTCTCCACAAAAATACAGAAATAACCTTATTTCTCTACAATAATAGTGAGCTTTTAATAAATTATCTAAACACACAAATAAAATAACAGTATTTTTTAAACTGTTGTATGGAACCTGAATGAAAAAAGAAAAAAAAAAAAAAAAAACAGTATCTAGCTGTAAGAACTAATTAGTTCTTAAAGACAATTATATTTTTCTGTAAATTTTTGGTTAAAAGATGATGAATAAACCATTAACAACTTATGTTTTCCTGCTTATCATAAGCTAAATTGAAAATACAAGGGAGACTTTAAATGATAAACACCAAAAATTCAGGCACTATGTGAGACAGGTAATTGTAAATGAAAATTATTTTCTAATAGCTTTAAAAAGCTTTGTTTGTCAATAATTGAAATGTACTAACATTCTTTACATACAAAATAAGTTTAAAGTAAGATAAAAGTTAGTGAGCATGAAAAATTAAAACATTTGTGTAAAATTATTAAAATATCCAAAATGCTGAAATATTAATGAGTTTTATAACAATTACAATCAAATTGAAGCCATTTGTCTTTGTATGAATTCATTTTTTAAAACTAATATTTTAATGTTTTTATTATGCTACTAAAAAAAAAAAAAAAAAAAAAAAAAAAAAAAAAAACTTTTTGAATTTTTTCAGAAGGATGAAGAAAGCTTGTCTGATGCAACTGTTGGTGGCACCTAATGTAGAAAGAATTGAAAATCATGGAGAAAGCAATGGGAAACTACTCCACTATATTACTCACCACAATAATAGAAACAGATATTAAAAAAGCTGTAGATGACCATGACTGTTTATGTCTTTATACTGCTCATACTTGATAGAAGATAATATATGTAAATTTTTATATACTAGAACAATGTTAGGAAAATTGGAAAAGATTTTTTATCCTATCAAGACTTCAATGTCATATAAGAAAAATTTTCCACTTTGTCATTAATTTTCTTAAAACTGTTTATACTTAAAATACACCTGATAGACAATTCTAACTGTATTTATGGCTGAAAGCTTTTGATGGCATTCATTTATGTGCCAGGTCTTTTCAGGATGTGGGTGATTATGGCTCTCCACAATTACATATCCTTTGTAGCTCTTAGCAATGTTTGTCTATACTATCCTGCCTACTTAGGTTCAGCCATCAATTTATGTCGTTTCTCTTTACTCTTCAGTATATTCTGTAAATGTCATTCTCCAAGCCATCTTTCCTTGCGTCCTTGAAATTTCAACTGATTCAAAGTATAAGCATCTTTTTTCTTTCCATTCTCTTTAAAGCTTCCTTGTTGCTCACATGCTACATCCATGGCATTTGCATCATTCTTCTGTAGAACAATATCTGTACTCAAGACTCCTTTAAACAATTTGAAAATTGTAGATTTGATAAAGAGGTCTGGATAAAAATTTCTTTTGAGATCTAGTTTTATCAGACGAGAATTCAACTTAAATGAAAATTTTAAATTATAAATTTAAAATGATATGCTTACTACATAAACAAATCAGTTTTCATTACCATTGTAGAGGAAAAGAAAATTATTTATAAAATGAGGATTATGCAAAAACTAAGACAAATTTAAGAAATGACTTTCAAATATCTTCTGGCTTTAACCTTCCTCATTCCAATAAAAGGTTTTGACTAAATTTCATAGGATTAGATGAAAATCTATATACAGGCTCAAATCATTTAATTTGAACATTATCATTAAATTGACATGTAGGATCATATATCAGATGTCTTGCCTTAAGATTATGTAGTTAGTAACAAGTTAAAACATCCAATCAAACATCCAATCAAACATTAAAACTTCAAGCTTATTATATAACTCAGGAATTGATCAAAGATTTTAAATTGGAAGGAGGTTTCAATGATAGATACAGAGAGAATGATTATTATATATTATAGAGAGAGACGAGATTATGGCGGGTGCAATGATCAGTTTTGGTACGAGTTTGTTTTTTGTTTTTTTATTTTAAGCTAATTAGTTGATAGTATTTGGAGGGTTTATTCATAAAGTTTTTGTACATATCAAAAGAAAATTTAAATTGTGCTTTGCCTAAGCAGAAGGTAGCATCTGTCTATATCGCTGAGATGAGGTATTATGATTATTTACATTATTTGAACTGTTATCCTCATCTTCATTGCATATTCACAATGTTTTTGCCATTGTACACTCTGACCACCTTCAGGTGATCAGAATTTTGAACCAAACCCTTTAGTTCATCCACCAGGGTAGATTGTTCTAGTTCCACATGCCCTGCCTCTTCCGGATGTCTCAGTTGTTTTTAACTCTCCAAGTTTTTTGGTTCACCACTGCTGTAGCCTGGTATTGAACTCGCAACTCTTTGGGTCTAGTCACTGGATGCAACCAACGTCTTTATCCACTACGCCATGTGTCCTTGAGGGTTCAGTTCAAAATTCCAATCACCTGACGAAAGCCAGAGTGTACAATGGCCAAAACATTGTGAACATGGTAATGAAGATGAGGATAACAGTCCGAATAATGTAAATAGAAGGTAGCATATCCATAGAAAATGTCCCATCCCCAACTTCCAGTCCCTACTGGCACTTATTGTGTCTTAAGTAGCACAACCTTTTGATTAAATTTTAAATGGATTAAAAAAAAGTTCAAATCACAGAAGATTTATCTGGATTTTAGAAAAAAGATAAAAAATTTGCTTATCTTTCACAATTTTAAATCTAGCAGGTGTCATTTAACCTCACTCTTTAAAATAAAAATAAAGTTATCAATTCTAAAACTCATGGCAGTTTATGGATGTTATGCAAATTCAGGTCAAATAACAATTTTGAATATATTGATTTTTGTTCAGGTCATGTGATCATTCTATCATTTTATACTAAGTAAAGTTGCAGTAACTAAGTCAAAAGACAGCCTTATTCAAGAGGTAAAAGCAACAGTTTTGACTGGAATGGCATGAATTATTTGGGGACTAATAAAAACTATAATTATGCAATTGGCCAAGATTTAATAGAAAATGAAAGTTTCCCTTTTTTAAAACTCTTGCTCATTTCATATTAAGCCAACAGCTTGTTGCATGAGAATTCATTCATATATTTAATGTACCTAAACAACATTATGCATGTAATTATATTTACAGAATTTTCAAATCATGATTATTCTTAGTCTGAATTAAAACAGTTTGAAAAAAAAAAAAAAAAAAAAAAAAAAAATGCTTTTAGTTCTCTTGATAGTAATTATGAATTTAGTATAGTTGAACAGACTGGGCTCTCTCTACTTATAGCAGGAGGGAGGAGAGATAGATTCATACTTTGCCCCAGGGTATTAGTATGAATAGAATGCAACATATTCAACTAGAATTTGAATTTGGCTTGCCAATTTTAATCTATGTTCTGACAATATTTACACCATCAGTGCATCTGATATATGCGTAGAGGATAAAATTAGTTTTAATGGTCATTGTCTTGAAACAGACATTAAGGTTACCAACCATAACAAACCATGAAATATTGTGCATCAACAATTTTTTTTTTTAATTTTTAAATTGATATGGTTTTACTTAATTAAAATGTGTGCTAAAAAAAAAAAAAAAAAAAAAATAATAATATATATCAGAATTCACAGTATCAGTGATATACAGGAACTTTTGGGATCTGGGATTATGGGAAATATAAAAAATCATTTTATTATTTACATCCACATGAGTCAATGATAATTTGAAAGAGGATATTGTAAAGTTATTAAATGATAGAACATATTGTTGGAAATTAAGAAAAGATTGAACAGAGATAAGAGAAGAAAAAAAAAATCTTTTAAGAATGCAACAAAAAGATTTTGAGAAAAATGAAAAGTACATGATCAGTCATAAAGCATCTCCAGATATTCCCAATCCAAATTCAGGGCCTTCTCACTCCTATATGAGGATTTCCTCCCTACTTGACCTCCATCATCCCCTCTTTTTTTAAAGTCAATTACACCCCATACAAGACAGTAAAGCCACTAAGACAAGAGAAACAGAAACATGAGCAGAAAGAGAAAAGAGTAAATCAGGAAGATAGTAGATAGTGATTGACATTGCATTTAAATTTTTTAAGATTAAAGTCAACTGAAAAGCATGGAGCTGGAAGGAAGTTCCACAAGTGAGAAATGTAAGAAAAACTGTTAGCATAGAATTTATGGCTACATCTAACCAGCTCAACTGTAAATTGATGAGATCTTGACGCCAGTCTAGTACTGCGCTTAAATTCTAAAAGTACAGGTACCATAGCAAGGAGCTCATCTGAACAATTACCACAAAAGCATTTATGGAAAAGGCATGGGGAAGCTATGTTATGGCAGTGGGAAAGTGACTGAAGCCGAGCCATCAGATCAATATTCTTATTTGGATTTTATCAAAGAGCTCAAGGAAAATAGTAAGAGCACCAGACCATATGTGGCAGCAATATTCTAAGCATAGACTTATAGATGTTTCTCTGGCCATTTTCTTTTAAAGATTGCCCTCTAGTTCTTGTGCACTACCTTGTTGTCCACTGAGTTGCTCTAATAATCCACCTCTTGTCTATCTCCAGATATTAACCCAATAAAAAGCTTGTGGTTAATCATTAAAAGATATGTATTTTAGAATGAAAAACAATACTAAGGATATGGTAAGCAATAAAAACTGCTGCAAGGAATGTTATAGACAAAACAGTAGAAAAGTTAAATAAATGAAAAAAATGGTGTACATTATAGAACATCTTAACATGCAAAATGATAAAATAATTTATTTAGGTCTAAAGAGTATTAAATATGATTTTATTGAACTACTTTTTTAAATGCTACATCCCTTCAGAACACAGGCAATCATGGCTCTCCACACACACATTTTTTATTTTTGACCTGTGAATTGCAAAGTATTCCGAGGAAAGATAATGGAGTTGTTTCCCATTGCCTCCTCCATGGTTTGAACTGATTGCCATCTAAGGCTAGTGAACCCAGTCTACCCTACTATTTCACCCACAGCTGAGAAGAGGGAAAGAGTGATATTTTTGTCAATGGGCATCAGTGTCAAGTGAACACAACTGACTTGATCAGATATTGAACTTGACTTGCCAGTGTCACTTTCTATGCCAATACCCATTACACACACCTGCACATCAACCTTAATAATTATTGCTATAGTTACAACAATTAAGTCACTACAATGGCTAGTGAACACATCAGTAATGTAATGATAAAATAACACAAAGATGAAGGTTCTGAATCGGTTTGCTCTCATAGAGGTGGACGGATTTATGCAAAAATGAATGCAGGAAGTTAGCTTGGAATTGGAACAGTTTGACGATTTCACTTTCTTTGCTAATATACATTAGACTACCTACACATCTGCTATCACTTATGCCTTTTCTTAATTAAAAATTTATGTTATGCTTTTGTCTATATAAAAAGCCTGTCACCTTATCGTTAGTAGTTTTCATAATAGATGTAAAGAGGACATTAGCACAATATATTGTTTATATAAATATATTCTGAAAAACTTACTAACATTAATTACTTAATACCAAAAGTTTTGTAAAAAGAAAAAAAAAACTGACTCTGCATATTTGCTAAATTGATTAATGGGCATACTCAACATTGTTTGGGCACTCAAATATCCCCTTTGCATAAGCGTACAAGTTAATTTTTTGGTGGAGGGGACTGGTTCAATATTCATGCCTTATCAAATGTAATTTGAAATCTGCTGAGTACATTAATCTTGCCAACTGTTTATATTTTTTTTGTTTTTTTTAGCTCTGCCTCACAGATTACACCAAGACAAGAGTAGCAGTGTTGAGTCGGTGATGATGAAATGTCCCCTCCCATAAATAAATACCTTTCGCCAGTCTTGAAGTTCCACTTCAAAATTCTTGTCCAGTATCATTTGTTTTAAATCTAAAAAGAGAAAAAAAGAAAATGGTTAAATCAATGATTCCAGTTCATTTCATAAGATGAATATAAAATATTTAATCAACTGTACATAACATATTAGGGGGTGATTAAAAAAAAAAAAAAAAAAAAAAAATTCTTTGCTAGGCACTTTCTTGATTGATTCATTTTCTGTTTTATCAACCCGTTAAAACCAGAAAAAATATTTTTAGATTATAAGACTTTTTTTTTTTTTTTAATGGTTTAGTGATACAAATCTTGCTAATTAACTCATAGCTGGGAGGAGAAGAGGTGGAGTCATACTCTTCCCAAGAGTTTTTATGTGTAAGTGTATATAATGAATACAACAGGAATTGGAACTTGGCTCTCCGATTAACAATTCCGAGCCTCTATCCATTACACCACATTCACATCCAAGCTTACAGCACCTAGTATTCCCCAAACAGTCATCCATCTAGATACTAATCAGGCTGGATGTTATTTTAGACTAAATAACATTTTATCCACTACTGAATAATTATGATTCCCACATCAGCTGAAGAATGAGAAGTAGTGATATGGAAAATTGTGTATATATATTTTTAAAAATATGATTCCATCACTAAATAAGAGTTCACGTTTCAAAAATAGAAGCTAAAATACCAAATATTTCATCCTCAAGTGAATTTTTCACTTGAAGATGAAATAGAGCACTCCACATTGAGCGAGTTTGATCATTCTAATAAGAACTCCCAGAGTGAGTTATCCCAGTTACCATACTTTCGTAATCACCATTAGATTCATCTAACTCTTGAATCCTCTGTACTGTCCTCAGATTGAAACCTAACACCCTGAAATATTAATATTGAAGCTTCTGGCATGAATGCCAAGCAATGCTGCATGCTGTTTCCAAATTTCTAGCAGAATGAATTGTGTCTTGATGGTTTTTTTTTTTTTTTTTTTACAGACTGTTCCCTACTATATGATACAGTTGACAAAAATCAAAAACAATGCTCATGGATGAAATTAAAAATATAAAATGGTGATAATTTACACACACACACACACACATGCAACACAAAAAAATTAATTGAATGGCAGCTTTGGTAGTTATATTTTTGCAAATTAGCATCTCAATATAAGGGAGCTAACCAAAGATGGCAGAAATGGAAATGCTTTAAATGTTGGCCAAACTCCAATGCATTTTAAAACATTGCTAGTACACTCATATATGGAACATGGGAATGTTTGTTTGTTTCTAAATGCAGGTCAATGTTGGAGGTGGGACAGAAAGCTGAACCTTCATGCCAATAATCCATAATTTGTTCTGCTGGTGGCAATTTAGCAAAATGTCATAACATGAATGTGCATGGAGCAAGTCACTGAATTCATAAATGTGACAAAAGTTCCACTCTTTGATGTTCATCAATAATTTTTCTTTTTAATCATTTCACTCCAAGCAAGACTATAAAAGCCACTATGATGCAAGGTGTTATGGAAAGTGAAAGAAACAGAAAGAGCAATAAAAGAATGGGGTCAAGGAGACAGAAGACAGTGATTGACATTGCATTTAAATTGTGGAAGATTGTAGTTGACAGGAAATCAAGAAGGAAGAGTGTTCCACAAGTGAGAAATGTGAGAGAAGAAACTTAGCATAGAATTTACAGTTACATCTAGCAATTTCAGTGAAATTAGGTGACCAAACTTCCAATCTAATAATATGCTTGAAAACTGCTCTATGCAGCTGTTATTGCACTCCCAGTATCTGCCAATTCCATGGAAATAAATTAGGAGGCATCACTTTTAAAGCACGTGTATTTCACACACAAAATTATTGATAGTCTGTTTTTATGTGGGATTATTAAATAACTTGATACATGTGAGTACATAAGAAAAAAAAAGAAAAAGCAATAGTTTCCAGTAAAATCAATAAAATCATCCATATTGACAAATCTGCCAACACAACATAATTCTCTTTATTAAAAAAAAAAGGGATTTAAAGTTTAATTAATCTGAATTGAAGCAAATATTACTTTTAGTTTAAAACATTGCAAAAAAAAAAAAAAAAAAAAAAACACACACACAGAAGTAGGTGTTTTTCTGACATGTTGGATGATGTATTGACAACTTGATGTTTGGGAAATTTAAGTAAGGAGTAGATAATTGGAATAAAATTATGATGAATACAATATAAACACCATTTTTATGTAATTTTTTTTTTTTTTTTTAACTGTCTAGTAATCTTAAAAATTGAATATATTTTAAACATCTATTATTGAAAATTTCATACTTTTGCTTTATCATCTTATGAAGACACATCTTTTGTTAATGTCAGCTATAAACATCGGTATTTTACAAAAAAAAAAAAAAAAATCAATATGTTTACATACACAAATTAGTTCTTTTTAAAAAATACTTGGGAATGGGGAGTTGCTCAATTGTAGTAAGCTTTTCTATTTATGATTAGTAAATAGTTTTAATTTAATAAGATAACTTGACTGCTACAAATTAATACAAAATTTTAAAGTTTACAAATTATTCTAATTAAATTTTTTTTTTTTTTAATCTCTCAAGACAACAGTGTCTATAATATATCTTATTCATAAAAGCAATTAAAAACTTTCCTTATTAAATAATGTCTTAGTTCTATTGCATGTTTTATTTTATGATCAGAGCAGATTTTCATTAACTGGAAATTCTGTTTGACCAAAGAGCTACAAAAAAGACATTTAAAAAAAAATAATTCATTTTTGAGTAAGACCTGAAAGTTTTATTAAAATCCAACAATTATCTGATTTTTTGAAGAGTTTTTAAACCAATGGGTCTTTCACTGAAAATAATATAAAAAAAAAATTACTTCTCACAGAAATTTTTGAGGTTCTATGTTGACACCAGAAAACAAAAACAAACAAAAAAACAAAAACAAACAAAAAACAAACAAACAAAAAACAAAAACAAACAAAAAACAAACAAACAAAAAAAAACAAACAAAATGTTTTTTTTAACCAAAATTTCCAAGGTTATAAAAAGGATAAAAAATAATTTTCACAACAAAAAGTGTTTTGATCTTTCATATTAATAAAGGTTTTGATAATAATTGTTTTTATCATGTTTTATACATTTTTTCCCCACCTTGTATTCTTTTTTTTTTATCACATTTTAAATGTTATTTTACAATTTCATGTTTCATTTAACAATGATTTCAATCTCTGAGAATGACTATTAAAAATCCCCCCTCCTCAAAATTATAGACAAATCCTACAAATGTATGCTGGGATTTCTTCCTTGCCAGGGAAAACAGACAATTCTTACCCATACATTTTTCCTTTTTTGCTTTCATGTCAGAAAGTTATAAGCACTTGACTATCACTTTAGCATGTGAACATTTTCTATTTTGTGAACTTTTTACTTTGTTACTGTCTTATAGTTGCTTTGCTTTGTCTTGCACTATTGTCTTGTTTCATTATTTTGCTTTGTTCTTTTCCCTTCTATTACTATTGAGAATAATGTGCTTTCCACTTAACCATGTCTACTACCACAATATTGCATGACAAGCAATTAAAATTTGCTCCACTAGACCAAGTTCATATTGAGAAATGATGATCATAAAGAAAACCACTTTTTAAAATCATTAAAAGTAAAAATATTCAAAGTTAACACGAAACAAAAGAAATAAAAAGCAACCTGGTCTCAATAACTTATAATAGTCTGCTTTTAATGTAGCACAATGCATGTTCATTTCATGTGGTCATCAAGCATCACATTCACATAAAGAAATATCTCATTAAGTAGTGAGATAAGATTGCATGACTGATGCATATATAAAATTACATTCTTTTACATATGTAAAGATATTAAAGGTATATTTAGGAAAATTAATAATTTTAGCAAGATAAAAAATAATTTGGAACTGACAGTACATTGCGACAACAGCCAACTCAATGGAAATCATGAGATGTACTAAATTTTTATCAGTAGTTTTGCTTATATAATAGTTTAACTGTTATTTCTATTAGATGAGGATATGTCCATGTTAGGATGACCAGAGAATAAGTCTGTTGAAAGAGCAGGACTTATTTTATGTGCAGTGTCCCTTCATGAAGTAGATGATCATGGCCATCTACATCTTCCTGTCCCCTGTAGCTCTTAATAAATTTTGTCTTTTTGTTATTTTGTTCTGTCATCCATTTGCTCAAGCTCATCAAGTATGTTACAAGCTGCTTTCCTCTGTCCCTTTTTCTCTCAATCTGTCCTGTGAGTATCAGATTTTCCAAGTCCTCCTTCCTCACTGCCTCTTCCTGAAAAGAAGACTTATACTTAAGTTTCCTTTTTGTTTCCAAAAACCTTGTTGTTGCTCACAAATTCGGTTCATGGTATCCTCAGCATCTTTTTGTAGAACCACATTTCTGTTGTGTAACCAACTGGTGTATTCTGATACCAGTGTAATTAATTAGCCGTTTTTTCTCTAATTATTAATTTAATTTTTCATTGAATTATTCCATTTCACATACATTTTGAATGATATATTTGGCTTGGCTAACAAAAATTAATGTACCAAAACAAATTTATTCTTAAAGTGTGTCACCAAGGCATCTCCAGTTATTTCTATCCAGGACAACTTCTGTTTGCAAAGCTGTGACCTAAGCAAATATATTCTAAGCAGTTTGTATATATTTAACACTTGAATGCTCATTTCATCAACACCGATTTTCATGCCATACTTTCTTAATAGACCATGTAAATATCAAAAATTCTTGGTAAGACCAGACTCCAAAACAAGTTCAAAATGCCTGAGGCAAAATCCTTATTTACCAATGCCATATTAAATCGCCTCCCCCTACCATAAGTGAAAACTCATGAATCATGCTCACTGCATTTTTGAAAACATTTTATTAAAAGATTAAAGATTTTTCTATTAACAAATGAGCATTAAAATATTTTAATTTGTAACTGAGTAAAAGGTTTAGATTTGCTTATTTTGAGGATTTTGATATTTTAAATTTTGTTACTTGGACTGTGCCATTTCT